GCATGATTAAATTCATTGCTTGATGTTCAGATGATGCCATTACTTTAGAGGGCAAAAACCTCAACCAACCTAGTAATTCTATCACCTACCTAATAAATGAACCACAATAACATACAGATAAGTTTCCAAATGTGGAATTCAAAATCTACAGACAAAAATAAGTTATACTACATGATTTCATATATATAAGCTACAAAACAGGTGAAAGTACAGATGAGCTATACTGTTAGGAGTCAGAGTCATGGTTACTCCCAGAGGTAGTGACTGGGAAGGGCACAAGGAGGTGGCTGGGGTCTGATGATGTTCTGTTTTGCAACCTAAGACATGCATAATAAATAAACGAAACATGGGTTCAGTTTGTTAAAATTTCATTTAGTTGTGCACTTATGGCCTGTAGAAGTATTACAACTTTTTAAAAAAATACATATCAATTAAAACACAAAGAGAGAACATAAATGGATTAGTGAATTTTTTGTTGTTTTTTGAAACAGGGTTTCACTCTGTCATGTAGGCTGGAGTCAAGTGGTGTGACTTGACTCCAGCCTAGGCGACAGAGTGAAACACACAGAGTGAACACACAGCCTTGGCCTCCTGGGCTCAAGTGATCCTCCTACCTCAGCCTCCTGAGTAGCTGGGACTTCAGGCATGTGGCACCATGCCTGGCTAAGTTTTTAATTTTTTGTAGATACTAGGTCTCGCTGTGTTGCTCATACTGGTCTCAAACTCCCGAGCTCAAGCAATCCTCCTGCCTCAGCCTCCCAAAGTGCTGGGATTACAAGCGTGAGCCAGCTCACCTGGCTTGATTAGTAATTTAATGCCTTAATGTTGTCAAAGTGGAGGTTGAAAGTATTAAATAACTTTATACCATGATTAATATTTTAACGCCTGCTGTAACCTCTGTGTTAAAAACTAAGATATACTTGTATATAACTCCCAAATAACAGAGGTTAACTGTGAATTTTTAAAATCTATATATAAAGCATATAAGACGTTAAAATAGGAAGAATCAGAAAAGATGATGGGTATTCTGAGGAATACAGAAAGTTGATATATCCAATGTCAAATATACCCTTTATAATATTAAACATAAATAGCTAAATTATTCCTGCCAAAGTCAAATATTATTTGACTATATTCAATCAGATTTTCCTTCAAGAGATACAACTAAAACATAAACATAATCTTTATATATATTTATGTTTTAGTTGTATCTCTTGAAGGAGTAGAAAAATTAGAAGATAAATTATATGTAATTTTAACCAATTAAAATTAAAGTGGAAAAAGTAAAGATACATTATATGTGATTTTAACCAATTAATCAGTGAAGATGGTGATAGATTAAAAAAGACAATACAGTTAAAATAGTTTAACATTGTTATAGTATTATTTTTACATATCTTAAAGTATAATTTTCCAGTATTATTGCTTGATGAATAACAAACATATTCTGATTATCCCCACATATGTTAGTGAGACATATGTAGGTGTTTTTCTGTATGTATCACCAATCCCTTGTAATGTCATTTTCACAACTGTGCTTACAATTCTGTGGGGGATGAGTAAACAACTGGACATTGTGCAAAAATAGACAACAAACATATATAGGATAAAATAAGAAGATTTTATATTCTGTGTCAGGCAAAGCAGAGCCTGGAGACACCAGAGTCACAGCTGATGGAAACAAAAAGGCTGAGAGTTGGGGAACACACAGCACTCAGGGCAGAAATGTTCACCAGCCACTGCCCAAGAGGATTAAAAAGAGCCAAAAATTGACAAAAGGAAAAGAGGATGTAAAAGCATACATAGATGTGCCCCAGGGCCAGGATGGCTTAGGTGACTCTGGACTCAGGGGAGGACCTGGACAGCCATTGGGTCCCATGAATGTGTTGGACCTGCAGCTTGTGCCGGTGCAGGATGAAAACCATGGAGCCTCTGGCCCAAGCCGTGATTCCCAAATCCAAAACATCGGGGTATAAGAACAGCACAGCACACAGTGAGTGTGAGATTTTGACATGAATCACAGCATAACAGTATCCATTATCTATTTTCCTTGTGATGGCTGCATTGAGTTATAGCCAGACACATAAAGAGGAAAATTATTTACTAGTGTGTTTAGGATCCAGCACGAGAGAATCAAGTGTCCAGTGAACTTAGGAAATATTACTGTAAGCTCTGCCCTACTGGAGTCCCTGGGGGAACAGGGATGGCCTGGAAGACACTCAGAAGGCAAGTGCTGCCAGGAGGCACAGCCCTGCCCAGTCTCTGAAGGCAGAATAGAAGTCCACATGAAAAGTCATTGAAGTTGTTCGAACCAAAGATGTCATTGTCTGCCAGATTTCTTTAGAGAGAATGACCGAGAAGTTGGCTATAATCAGATGCATGAGAATCAAATCTGTGCACCTTAACCTGCACCCAGTGAGGAAAAGGGAGGCATAATGATAAAGAAGAGAGTTTCCCAGAATTTACAGAGTCAAATGTGTCAGTCTGTCTTCTGCTAAACAATCCGTCATGGTTGAGTATCATTGATCAAAGTGATTCCTGCACCTGCAGACGATTCAGGTGATTATGACATGACTTCTTGGACAGGGCGTTCCAGAGAAACAAAACCAATTTAAATTGCTTAAATTTGAATAACTCAAATCATTGAATTAATAAATTATTTTAACTTAAATGCATACATGCAATTTATTTAAGTATAGATATTAATATTTAATAAATGTGTATTCATTTTAAGCAATTGGCTCGTGTCACTATGGAGGCTGAGAATTCCCATTGTCTGCTGCCTTCAAGTCAGAAATGTGGGACACCCAGCAGTGTCACTTGAAGGTTTGAGAACTAGGAGTGCTGAGGGCAACAGAAGATCCCTTCAGGAGTAGCCCCAGGTAAGGGACCCCAAAGAGTGACCTCACTTCCTTGACAATAGACCCCAACAGAACTTGCAACACTGGAAACCAGGCACCCACATTCTACAAACAGTCTCTCCCCATCTCACTTGGCTGAAGACACTAAAGAGAATTAGATGTTATCCTGCTGATCCCAATTTCCTATAGTTCTGGCACCAGAAAACCCTGAATGATAGGTTTTTCTGAAGCTGCTGACGTTGGGTCAGTCCTCAACACCATCACCTCTGGCCATGTTCAGGAGGTACTCGAAGGTAACACTGGCAGCTGAGAGCAGGCCAATCAATGTCTGGCCACCACCCTAATCCCACCTGGATAGTCACACCCCACCTCCCTATGTGTGTTTGTGCAGTGGGGGTGATGTCATGTGGGTCTGGCCTGTCCTGAGCAGAACCAGGTGTTCGGTTGTCAGAAACCCAGTGACCCATCACGTTCACTCCTCAGATCATGGCTCAAAAGTCTGCAGAGCAGAGTCAAGAGATTGGCAAAGAGGTGTTGATGAGGTAATGTGTTCCATTTCCCTAGGTGAAAGGCAGGCGCACCACACTGTGAACAAGGACCAGTGCTGGACTGGAGTGAGTGCAGGAGCAAAACGTTCTCTAAGCTGGGCACGGTGGCTCACACCTATAATCCCAGCACTTTGGGAGGTCAAGGCAGGCAGGTCACCTGAGGTCAGGAGTTTAAGATCAGCCTGGCTAATGTGGTGAAACCCCGTCTCTACTAAAAATACAAAAAAAGTTAGCCGGGCATAGTGGTGGGTGCCTGTAATCCCAGCTACTTGGGAGGCTGAAGCAGGAGAATTGCTTGAACCCGGGAGGCGGAAGTTGCAGTGAGCCAAGACCACGCCATTTCACTCCAGCCTGGGCAACAAGAAAGAAAATTCATCTCAAAAGAAAAAAAAAAAAAGAACAAGATTCTCTAATCCAGAGCCTGGAGGGGGCAGGGAAGGCCTTCTGCTGAGACACTACTGTAAATAGCTTTATTCAATAAACACACACACACACACACATATGGGTGAAAAAATATGTAAACCTTGATATATAGATGTAGATATTCATTCTATTAGTTCTGTTTCTCTGTCTTCTTGAGTATGGCCATCCTAGTGGGTGTCAACTAACACTTCATTGCGGTTTTGATTTGAATTTCCCTAACGAATAAGAATTCTGAGTGTCTTTTCACGTGCTCATTGGTCATTTATGTTTTATTCCTATATCCTCATGTGTTGTTATCACCAATAATTAAAACATTCTCTGGTAAAATATTTTTCTAAGTTAATTTACTTATAAAATTACAAAGGCAAGAAGTGATTTACTCAGTGAATGCTGTTATCTCATTTAATTTTTCATCTCATATGTCATAATATGAGCTGATTCTCTCATTGGCGTGTCCTGTATTTCTGAAATGAACCATTCTCAATCATTTTGTGTACCTGTATATTAATTATACATGCAAATTCATGACTTACGCTTGCTTAGTTTTAAGTTTTGACATAATGTATGTATTAGGTATCTTATTTGACAGAAATCACTTTTTCCTCTAAGTTTTCTAATTAGTGTAAAGTTGTTTGTCTTAGAATGTAGACTTTTTAAAAATCTCCATGAAGTTTTAAATACTGTTTATTTTTTAATATTAAGTATATATTTTCACATTTTTAACACTGCAGTAAGCTCTATTTTATCATTAATTTTATTTGATTATATTCCATGTAATACTTATTCTAAATTTTTCACTTACATTATATTTTATAAAATAAAAATTTAGGCTAAGCTTCTTTTATCTTTTTGAGACAGTGTCTTGTTCTGTCAGCCAGGCTGGAGAGCAGTGGTACAATCTGCCATCAGCTTGGCATGCATGCCTTTGGACTCTACAGGGTTCTTTGGATTGTAGCTGAATTTTCAATGTTTAGTCAGTATGGATCTGATCTCCGCATGATCTTTTTTGTGAATGCTAACATGATTTTGTAACTTTTTTTCCATTCTAAACATTTTTCTTTTCACTGCCAACCCTCTGCCTTATTATTTTATTGGAAATCAAGGACCTGCTTTTATTTGTTAATTTGCCATCATTTATGTATATATTGAAAGGTACAAGACCCACAAGCACAATGATCATTTTTATTTGTTTGAAACTTCAGAAGAATATATATCTTCATGCTTTATGAAGTTGCTTCAATAGGAGCCCATGGGATGCCAGAAATTAGCATTTCTTTGCTGCCACCGGCTGATGATACGGCTGCTATTAGAGAAAGTTTCGCTGTGGCACCAGGTCACATTTTCATAGAAAAAGATGACTTGTAGCTTATTTTAGAAGTAGGAACATTTGGTCTATTCGACTAGACTTGCAATTTAAAAAAAAAAAGCTTGCATTCATTAAAGAAACAATGAATTTAAGGTAAAATGACAAAACCTGGTCTTTAACATCCTGAAGGATCTGATACATTATTTTCCCTCCAACTCCATCCCAGGCCCGGTGGTAGAACGGCTGCTTTTCCTTCTTACCTTTTAGAAAAGTCTGCGTCTAGATTTTATTCAAAAATAGAAGAAACAACAGTAGAATGATATAAGTAGCAAAAATTTTAAACTCAAAATATTAAGTATAAATTACAAAAACATACAAACAACAGAATATGTGGGATAAATACCAAATTTTATACAATTACTCTGGATTAAAAGGCTGAACGTTCAGGTGAAGGAGCAGAGAATGCTCCTTCAAAACCAAAAGAGAGAAAATCTTCATAAAAATATAAGAAGCATGAACATAGGGTCTACACATCAGAAAAATTATAGGACAGAATTCTTTTTAAATAATCAAAAACTAGTCTCATTAAAATAAAGTATAATCATCAAGGACAAAAATAAAATTCTACAACTTGAAAATGGGAAAAAAATGAAGATTAATTCAAAACAGAAAAGGGTGTGAACTATGACTTTCTTCTCACTTTCTTCATTGATCATCACTTAAAGCTTTATTTCATTACTTTTCTTACACTGCTGTGCCCAGTTAATTTCATAACATTTTTTATTAATTGGTTTAAAGTTGCATTATTCCAAATTATTAGAGGCCCACATTTAATGAATAATTTGCCTCTAAACTTCTCCATTGCAACATTAACAAAATGAAAATTATGAAAGCACTTTGCAAAACATTTCATCTGTAACTATCGTTTATGATACATGAAAAATCCTTGAAGGGCAAAGACGGATTCTGAGTCTCACACACACTTTGCAATTGTCTGCCAATTGTGGTGCTTAACCTTCTGCAGGAAGAAATCAACAAATGGCCATTCATTGTATAGAAAGAAGACAATCCACATAAATCGAAGAACTATCTGACCAGCTTAGGAAACTGTGTATTCTCTCCACAGCAGGCAGAGCCCAGCCTGGGTATCCTGGGATGGCGGTTCATGAGCACAAATGGGCTGACCGTGGGAAAGCAGGCAGTCATCAGTGCAGAGGTGTTCACTGTTTGGGTGAGGGAGAAAGGACAAGATGGAGGAAGGTGAACAAGAAGGCACAATCCATGTTGCTTCCGGGTTCTTCCTCACCAACTTTCCCGGGCCGGGAAAATGCAGCCCGGGCCTGGGAAGATGCAGATCAACGGGAGCATGCGCCAGGTGACGTCAATCCGAAGAGATTGAAACTTACCTGGCCATGCCTATGGAGACGCCCCTATCACGCCCTTATCCCACCCACTGCCCTCCCCCTTCCAGTACCAATGCATAAAAGTCCGCTGCCGAGCAGGAGCCCGCGTGACTTATTCGGCCTCTCCTACTTGTGGACCGGAGAACCTCAGCGAAACCTGGGATGCAATCCAGGGGGAGAGATGAGGAGTTGTCCTTCTGGTCTACTGTACATGTATGGCTGGGGAAGTACATGAACTAACACGCACAAGAGAGGTCCTGGTTCAGTCCCATCGATACAGTGAGTGAGACCAGAGGTGCGGGCTAACCAGGTATTGTTAGGTGCCTGGTAACAGACTGAAGTGCTTAAGGAAGTAAGCAGGGACTGATTACAAGTAACCCGAAATGGAGAAGCAGGAAAGTTATATCCGGTGCTAATTAGACAAGAAGCATTCCCAGACACGTCTCCTAGTGTGAGGGCACGGGGTCATGCACGACAAAATAGAGGGCCACTTCTAAGCATGGCTTCTACTCCTAATCCCACATAGTAAGGGGGTTTGGCTTTTAGACATAGCCAACAATCTTGAGCTAGTTTAGGCTGGGTGAGATTAATGAGGTGATGTAGCCCACCTAGTATGAACATCAGGCTGGGTTGGAGATGTTGTCATTGCAGTTGGGGTTTAGGAACTAGGAATGGCAGCGGAACAGTTAAATTGACCTTATCTGGGTGTTCTTGGAACATAGGGTCGCCTAGATCAGTTAAAGGCCCAATTGGCTTAGGAGGGCTCCATGAGACCAGGATTTTTTTCTGGATGGTGAACATAGTTCCAACATCAAATCCCAGGATATAAAGCCTTAATTCCCATGACATACTATAGTACCATTGAGCTGAATTAGGGTTATGAACGGTTATAGTAAGAGGATTGCAATTTTTGTACTACACAGTCTAGGATGGGAAGCACGAGCAATGGAAAGAGTTGAAGATGGGGTTAATCCCCCAGAATAAGTGGCTAAAGTTACACATGTCCAGTCAAGGCAGAAAAACTGGTAAGTATCTCGACAACTAGAGTCAGGGTGATTTCCAGGACAGAGGTAAAAGTCAACATTTTGGAGTCCTTTTTCTGCACCTTTGGAGCTCCCACATCCAGTCTGGTTGACAGAGTATCTAAATCCTGCAGCAAGGTCAACGTTTCCTGCTCCTATGACTGGCAGCTTACGTTGTTCTTCGTGGGTATGGGCAGGTTCTGGGAACAAAGCACATAAATCGACTGCAAAAGAGACTTTCTTGGAGGTTCCTGTCTTCCAAGTAGTGTTTGCAAATACATGTCCTGTTGCGAAAGAAGTGAGGAGAAAGGAATAGGAAGGGGCGCGGAGGGCATATCAGGTGGAAACAGACAGGAGAGGTAAATAAAAGGAATTAATCTAATGGCTTTACTTGACTTAAACCCAGTTTTAAGGGGCCTGGCCCAGGCTTGGGAACCCATGTTTCTTGCTGGCCTTTGTTTGTCTTTTTGATGCGGGAGTGATGAATCGAAGCAGGAATGCCATCCACCTTCAGAGCCGTCAGCGTGGTGAGGATGACAGTATGAGATCCTTTCCAAGGAGGAGTGAGTCCTTCTTTCTGGAACTTTTTAACAAACACCAGGTCACCCGTCTGGAATGAGTGGCAAGGCCCCATCTGGTCAGGAACTGGATTGGGATGAGTTCGCTGGACGAGTGGCTGGATGATATCTCGCACCTGTTGGAGAGACTGTAGGTACTGTAATAAATTAGCTTGTGATATTTCTTCTAAATGAGTATTCCTTAGCTTAGGCAAGATAGGTGGTGCCCTCCCATACATGATTTCAAAAGGTGAAAAACCCTTCCGGTAAGGAGTGTATCTCACTCTAAGGAGGCTAAAGGAAAGAGTCTTACCCAATTCTCACCAGTTTCTAAGATTAATTTTGTAAGAGTACTTTTTAGGGTGTGGTTCATGCATTCTACCTGCCCAGAACTCTGGAGTCGATAAGCACAATGGAACTTCCATTGAATGTTTAATGCTTTACTGACCGACTGAGCTATGGTCGAGGTGAAGACTGGACCATTATCAGACCCTATGGCAGCAGGCAGCCCATGTCGAGGGATGATTTCATTGAGTAAAAACCTAACTACCATGGTGGCAGTCTTGTTTTTGGTTGCAAATGCCTCAGTCCATCCGGAGAAAGGGTCTACTAGTACCAGAAGGTATTTGTACCCAGCCCAGTGTGGTTTTATTTCTGTAAAGTCAATTTCCCACCTTTCTCCTGGTGAGTTTCCTCAGAGGTGGTGGCCTGAGCTGGGTTTAGGACGTTGCTTGGCGTTTACCTGAGTGCAAGCCGTACACCAGAGGGCTGCTTGATCGCTAAGTTCTGAAGGTGGGTGATCTTAAAACGGTTCCTGAGGAGCTGGGCCAGTTTTGCTCCTCCCAAATGGGTGGTAGAATGCAGTAGACTGATTAAAGTTTCCCCGAGAGCTTGAGTATGAAGATTCTGGAGTAAGGAAGAATCCACCAACCTTTTTGATTTTTATTGGCCTGAGATCTGAAGCCAGTTTCTCCTACTCTGCCGAGTATACGGGACGATTGAGTAAATCAGGTTGTGGAAAGGAGACTGCTGGCAGTAAGTTTACAGGCAATGGCCATGTCTTCTCTTTGATGTCCTTTGCAGTGGATTACAGCCACCTGCTGAGGGAGCCAGGGCTAGAATTTCTTCTTTGTTTTTGATAGTCTTTCCTGCTGAGATGAGTAGCCCGCGTGCTTGATAGGTGGCTCCATGCATATACACAGTAGCAAATGCATATCTACTGTCAGTGTAAATGATTTTCTTTGTTTTTTGTTTGTTTGTTTGTTTGTTTGTTTGAGATGGAGTCTCGCTCTGTCGCCTAGGCTGGAGTGCAGTGATGCAATCTCAGCTCACTGCAAGCTCTGCCTCCCGGGTTCATGCCATTCTCCTGCCTCAGCCTCCTGAGTAGCTGGGCCTACAGGCACCTGCCACCAGGCCTGGCTACGTTTTTGTATTTTTAGTAGAGACGGGGTTTCACCGTGTCAGCCAGGATGGTCTCTGATCCGCCTGCCTCAGCCTCCTCAATTGCTGGGATTACAGGCATGAGCCACTGCGCCCAGCTGTCAGTGTAGATGTTAATACATTCATACTTACCCCATCAGAGAGCCTGTGTGAGGGCAACCAACTCAGCTATCTGTGGTGAGGTGCCAGCTGGCAGAGCTTGGGCCTAAAGAATATCTGTCTCCATAGTAACGGCTGTACCAGCCTTTCGTACTCCCTGTTCGAGGAAGCTGCTACCATCTGTAAACACGGTGGCATCTGCCTTTTTAGGGGCACATCTTGGAGATCGGGTCAGCCAGTTTCCATAGTTTCTAACAATTCCTGGCAGTCATGGATGGGTGTAGGGAAGTCTGGATCAGGCAGTAAAGTAGCTGGATTTAAACACCTTGTGGGAGAGAAAGTCAAACGAGGCTAATCTAACAGTAAACTCTGATACTCTAGGATGTGAGCATTCAACATCCATTTGCCAGAAGCACTTCGTAGCAGAGTCTTTATGGCAAGAGGAGCCGTAGGGTTAAATTCTGGCCTAAGGTCAACTTATCAGCCTCCTGGACTAGGCTTGCTGTTGCTGCTACAGCTCACAGACAACTTGGCCATCCAGAGGCCACAGGGTCCAGTCTCTTAGACAAGTAGGCTACTGGGCGTCCCCAGGGTCCTAAAGTCTGAGTGAGCACCCGTTAGCAACTCCCTGGCTTTCACGACAAAATGGTGAAATGGTTTTGAATATTAGGGAGGGCTAGAGTGGGGGCCTCGGTTAATGCCTTTTTCAGGTTTTGAAAAGCCTGTTCTTCTGTGTCAGTCTGAATTAGTGGGCCATTCCCTCCTGTAGCGGTGTCCAGGGGCTTGGCAATCTCCACGAACCGTGATGTCCATAGACAACAGTATCCCACAGGCCCCAGGAATTCATGTACCTGTCTCTTGGTGGTGGGAGTGGGGATTTGTAAGATGGCTTCTTTCCAGGCACTGGTGAGTGCCCTTTTTCTTTGGTTTATCTCATATTCCAGGTAGGACACTCTGGGAAGATAAAGCTGGGCCTTCTTGGCCGAGACTAGATACCTGAGCTGCTGAAGATGGTAAAGCAGGTCCCTAGTATGTTGCAGGCAGCTGTCAGTAGTTTCAGTAGCTAATAAAAGATCATCAACATACTGAAGAAGAGGACAGTTAGGGTGACTGCCTCGGAATGGCACGAGATCCTGCTGGAGGGCTTCCCCAAAAAGAGTGGGGGAATTTTTAAAACCTTGAGGCAACTGAGTCCAGGTTAACTGGGTGGTGTCTCCTGAGCCAGGATCTGTCTATTTAAAAGCAAAGATTGGTTGGCTTTTCAGGATGAGAGGAATAGCAAAAAAGGCATCCTTTAGGTCAAGGACAGTGTATACTGTATGTTCTGGTGGGAGCAGGCTGAGTAGATAGAGTATAAGGATTAGGGACAGTCAGATGGAGGGTAACGGTCCATTTGTTAACTACCCTTAAGTCCTGTACCAGCGGGCAATCATTTGTTTTGGGTTTCTGTACCAGCAAAAATGGAGTATTCCAAGCAGACTGACATGGTGTGAGTATGCCAGCTTGTAACAGTCGCTGAATATGGGGATGGATCCCCCATCTAGCCCGCTGACTCATAGGATATTGCTTTATCTGGACTGGCAAGGTGGTGGCCAGGAGTTCTACAACCACTGGTGGATGGTGCTTAGCCAGTCCTGGGGGGTTTGACTAAGCCCAGACTCAGGGAAAGAGTGTCTATAAGTCCAATAGGAGAGGATTAGTGTTATTCCCCAGTGGTTGTGATGGTGAAACTAAAAGACATTCCTCTGACAGAGGGGTAGTTAGCAGGAGTTGGGCAGGGGGGGACGTGGTGTCTCCCAGTTTGAGGTGAGCCTGCTGGGCTGAGAAGGAGATAGAGGCCTGTAACTTATGGAGTAGGTCTCATCAGAGGAGGGGAAAAGGGCACTCTGGGACCACAAGAAATCAGTGAGTTACTCTTTTCTGTCCCAAACTCACTTCTCGTGAGTGTGTGACGGGATATTCTTGAATAGCTCCAGTAGCCCCTTGTACGGCCATTGTTTTATTAGAGATACTGCCCAAGGGTGTCTGCAGTATGGAGTGCTCTGCCCCCGTATCTATTAGGAAGTATACAGGCTGGCCCCCCACTGTAGCGGTCACCATGGGCTCCCGGGAGCCAAGAAAGAGGGAGCCCTGGTCCCGTCACTCATCTGACTCTTCCGTTGTGGGGAGGGTGAGGACTTTTTTCTTTTCTGGTTTTTCTTCTAGTAGTAATGGGCATTCTTTTTTCCAGTGTCCAGTCTGCTTACAATAAGCGCATTGGTTTTCTCCAGGGGAGCCCATTCACCTGTCTTGCCTTTCTGGCAGGGACCCGGGGTTCCCTGGCCATTTTTCTGTGATAGGGGCCTTCCCTTCTTGGCTTCCTGGATGACCGCCACCAAGATTTTTGCTTGTCTTTTGGGTGCTTTATCAGCGGCCTTTTTAGTTGCCTGAGCTGCCTGTTTTTGTTGTTCAAACTCTCGATTGTCAAAAACTTTTTGAGCTATCTCTAAAAGCTGACTGATATTCATCCCAGCAAATCCGTCCAGTTTTTGGAGCTTTCTTTTAATATCCGGGGCTGCCTGAACCACAAATGCCAAATTAAGAGCATGGCTATTTTCAGGAGCTGCCAGGTCAAAAGGGGTGTAAGTCCGATAGGTCTCCTGGAGGTGTTCTAAAAACACTCCCAGTGACTCATCAGGCCCCTGAACAACTTCAGTCATCTTAGACAAGTTTATGGGTTTCCAAGCGGCTCCCTTGATAACCGCCAGGAGATACCAGTGAAAATCGTCTAAAGCTCTCTTCCCACCTGAGGAGTTCAGGTCCCAGTTGGCTGGGTAGAGGGAAAGACCTCCTCAAGAAGGTCTCTAGCTTCTTCTTCCGGCCTATTGTCTGATGTGAGGAAATGCTTTCCGGCCTCTCTTTGGATATGTTCCCTCTCTTCAGAGGTGAAAAGGGCCAAAGGAAGCTGTTGACAGTCATCCCAGGTGGGCTGATGAGTCCAGAGCACAGACTGCACCAGTGAGGTCAACACCTGGGGCTTTTCAGAAAAGGGGGGATTATGAACTTTCTAGTTATACAGGTCAGAAGTAGAGAAATGGATGTAAACCAAGAATGGAGCTGAGCGCTCATCACCCAGAGGGACTTGTACCTCTCTCAGTGGCAGAAGAGGGGCTACCTTCTCCTGCCATGGCCACAATTGAGAGGCAATAGGTGGAGAGCCCACAGGGGACATAGTTGAGGAGATAAGGGAAGATTCTAAGGGAACAGGAGGGTTACAAGGCTACAGCACTGGGTGAGGAAGACTCTCCTCTTCTTCACAAGGAGGCAATACAGGAGGAGCTGAGGGTCGAGGTGAAAGTGTGGTCTGGCCCGAAAGGACCTTGGAGGTTGAAATATGAATGGCGCATGAGTGGAGCCATGGAGGAGGGCTCCTGACCAAACTCAGCCACTTATCAATGTATGGAAACTGATCAGGGTGACCGGGAGTTCCAGGAATGACCCGCCACACAGCCTGAACAGTTGTGGGATTAAGTGACCCTTCTGGGGGCCATCCGTTTCCAAACTGTGGCCTTTCTACTTCACAGAGTGTCCAGAGTTTTCCTTTCTTAAGGCGGACTCCATAATCCTCTGAGAAGCCTAGAGAGAAATTCTGCAACATACATTGGAGAGGGTTCCAATCCCTACAGGGCCGGGAAGAGGAGTTTCCTATCTTGGAGGCAATTTAACTAGGTTTTGAGCAGATATTAAACCCAGCACAGACAGAGAAATTCACTACCTGGAGGGCTGCAGTATCGGAAGAACAGAAAGAACATAACCAGAAGGAGTAGGAAAACAACTATAGCCAGCACTTCCTGCCACATGTGGGTTGTTTTCTGTAGCTTTAAGGTTTAGGGAGGGGAACTAGGGGCTGGCCTGAGGGCTCCGTGGCCAGACGGACCTAGACGACCTCCCTCTTTCCCTTGACCTGTAGCCTAAATACTTTTGGTGTCTCCACGACGCAAAGGCAAAGAGTTCAAACTCAGCCTTTTCTTTGAAGGGTTTGAGGTGGGAGAGTAGAGCCAAGTCTTGGAGATGCTGGACTTGCCGTGACACAGTAAAACGAGATGTATGGGGTAAAGGGTGAGGATGAGGAGGAAATGGGCCACTTGGATCTTCCTTAAGGTAGGAGAGTAGCCACAGGGAAATACAATAAGAGTCCAGATGGAGTAAAGCAGTTCGGGCGTAGGCTTCTTTGCACAGTGCCCTATTTAAGGGCACGGGAAAAGTTACAGGATGACAGAAGAGATGAGCAAGGAGGTCAGCAGGATGGCTATTTTGAATCCACCACTGGTCTAATCTGGAGGTAGTGCAGTCACTCAGACGTGGGGTGTGACAATCTAAACTCCAGCAACCTTTATGGTACCAGAAATCCCAAATGGGCGAATGTTCCCCACACTCATTCCCGTAACAATACCTGATTTGTTTCTGATAGAAAAGGCAGGACTGGGATGGCCAAACGACTGATGAGAAATTTTACCTCTTGTGATAAAAAAAAATCAGCATTAAGGACCCTGAAGAAGCCCTTGCCCAGAGGTCTTGGGCAGTATCGACAACCTGACATATGAAACTTTGACAAACACTAAACAGGACAGTAGACACCAAACAGGACGATAAACATAAAACAAGCAATAGACAGAAATCAGGCAATGGACCCTAGGGTATATAAACAATTATGGCAGTTTTTATAGACAAGGGGAGGGGGTCCCGTGATGGGATCAGTCAGATGCCCGCCTGGCCACTCCCTCTGAGGGGACTTAGGCTCCTCTTAGCATAGGCAGGCCGGTATAAACCCTGGCTTGGATCGAGCTATGTCTGACGCTGCCTTTAAGCCTTATGAGGTCGTCAGGGAACCGCAGGTGAGGGCCCACTCAAACTCCGTAGCTTTCGCCATGGAGCTACAAAATGGAGATTCAAGGGCATGCCCTTGAATGCCTCATTCGTATGCACTTTCACACAGAGTTTATCACAATTTTTTTATTCCCGTTCTGAACAGAAGTCTCTGGGGGACCTGAACAAGAGAAGCAGAGATAGAGAAAGGGGGAGGAGGGGAAAGAGAGAGAGAGAGAGAGAAAGAAAGAAAGAGAGGGAGGGACGGAGAAACTAGTCTTAATGGAGAGGCTGGTCTGCCAGAAACCAAGCCTCTGTCCTCCAGCGTCCTGGCCTATGGACAGAGTCAGAGAGAGACGTCCTCATCAGGAACGGTTCCCTCTCACCAAACCAGAACCAAAGTCGCCTAACAGAAAACTAAGGCTCTGTCCTCCAGCGTCCTGGACTGCGGGCAGAGTCAAAGAAAGAGGCACCCTCATCAGGGCCGCTTCTCTCTCATCAAACCAAAGCCAGATCTGACTTACCTCCTCAGGGCCAGAAGCTGAGGACTCTGAGGTTGAATTTTGTGGGCACACACCAGTAGTCGATCCGCGCTCCTCCAGAAGACTGTCGCCTTTTGGGGACCTGGAACTTTTTCAGGTGTTGCCTCCCCTGTAAGCTGGCCGTCTATCCGGGGGAGCCCAGAGCAAGCCCGGCCCTCACCCAGTGGCAAGTTATCTCGCTGGGGCCTCCAAATGTTGTACCCAAGTGAGTTAGGGCAAAACGCCACACTTTAAGGCAAATTCAGGAGTCCTTCATCAGCCTGCGAGCGAGAGATGGCTAGCGCTCGAAGTTCTTTCGACCCCGAAGAAGGGGCTAGATTTTCTTTTATACTTTGGTTTAAAGTGGGGAGGGGGATTCTAGCTGCAGCAACTTTAAAGAAGAGAAACAGACAAATAAGAAAAAAAAAGTTAAAAAGACAAATGGTTACAGGAAAACAAACAGTTCCAGGTGCAGGGGCTTTAAATTCATCATAAGGTGATAGGTGAGGGGGCTCTGAGCATTATCTACCAGACAAATGCGGGGGCTTTATGGTACCATCTCTGAGTACATTGCTGGGAACTGTGGACACCAGTTTGCCTCAGCACCTTATCAGTTAATTGGACTCTTTGATAGGCTGAGACTCAGCTTACACAAGTTAGCTCCTTGAGGAAGGGGGTGGGTAAGGAGTCCTCGATGTCTTGCAAATGAAGGAGCCAAATGGAGTCCATCCATTTTTCTCATCTAGGGGAGAGTCTATTCATATTAAAACAAGGTTAGGTAGCTAAGGGAGAGTCTATCCATGTTCAAACAAAGTTAGGTATTACAGTAGGTTAAAGCCCTCTGTTTAATACTTTTGAGAAGAATAAGATAATTTAGTCAGCTACATCTTATACATTATCACAGGCATGAAGGAACTGTAGAAATGCTTCCACTTATCCTGGAAATCTCTGACTCTTGTGGAAATGATAGAACAACTAGCAGATGAATTTCCAAATTATTCTAGTAAACTTTTAAAAAATGCATTATTCCCATTTAACAGGTAAGGAGATCTTAGACAAGAAAGATCAACATAAACAGATTTTTGGGGCCAGACACTGGCTCAGGCCTGTAATCCCAAACTTTGGGAGGCTGAGGCTGGTGGATCACCTGAGATCAGGACTTTGAGACAATCTTGGCCAACATGGCGAAACCCCATCTCTACTAAAAACAAAAAACAAAAAATTAGCCAGGCATGGTGGCGTGCACCTGTAATCCCAGCTATTCAGGAGGCTGAGGTGGAAGAATCGCTCGAACTCGGGAGGCAGAGGTTGCAGTAAGCTGAGATTGCCATTTGACTCCAGCCTGGGTAACAGTGCAAAACTCCATCTCAAACTAAAAAAGAAAAATAAAATGAAAAACATTTAAAAACAGATTTGCATCAAAAACCAACAATGACAAGCACGAGGATTTTGTTAAGTTAAATGAGCCACACATAGTTGGGGACTGGCTCATATTCTTAGAACTTTGCTCCCTCTTCACAATTTAGCTCATGACCCGGCAATTATTCCCTTCCCCACACGGCCTTGGCACTGGTCAGTTTCTGGCCCAGTGGAGTCCCCTTTCCACACTAGAGCATTTCCCCCACTTCCTGATACACTTCCTCCCCTTGCAGGCGCTCTCTCATAGATCAACATGTAACACACCCACCAGGCGCCTCCCTGCTGCAGGGCTGTGGAACTCAGTGACTGTCAGGATGGCCAGTGAGGGTGTGGAGGGAGGCGGCCAGGTCAGAGATATGGTCTTGGGATCCTGTGACCTCACCTCCCCACAGAACTGCAATTGTACGTTACCTGTGGCAATAATGACAGTATACACTTGGGGAACTGAAAATATTTCTGAAAAACTTTGTCCCAGTTACAATTACCTGTTTTTGGTAATTGACAACTTCCCTGCAGCACCTCCAGAGAGATGACAGTGCCTCGAGAGGCTCTGCTTTTCCATGATCCTTTGAGGCAGACAGGGGCTGTCCTGGAGTGAGCAGAAAATGCGGAGTCTGAGACAGAAGGGGATGACAATGAAGCACGGTGGGTGCTGGATTCTGTGCCTCCTGGGATGTGTTTTTGCTGAAACTCTAATTTTCTGTTACTCCCCAAATTCTTTAAATGAGCAATCATTGAATTATAAACAGAGAAATGGGATCACACAAGTAACCTAAGAAGGATTTGTCAACAGATTACAGTGCCAGGAAGAATGTGAGGTTCAACACTGACAAAATAGAGACATCTGTGTAATTCAACACAAGTTGATACGCACATGTAGATTGCATATATACGTAAGTGTGTTTGTGTGTGTGTGTGTGTTTGGAATATATGTTTTATCAAAATGTAACTCAATAGAGATAGACTCTAAACTGAACAATATTCATAGAAGAAACAAATACATTTAATAAGGAATTTCCTCTCACACAAGCACCAAGTTTATGTAGTTGACAGGGAAATTTTACCGATAAAGTAATCAATAAACCAATGCTACTTAAACTACTCGAGAGTTATAGAGAGGGCAGTCTTTCCTGAAATCGTTTTTAGGAAGGGTATATAAAGGTGATACCAGAACCTTGCCTAGATTTAGCCATATAGAATACTATAGACAAGGCCCGGCGCGCAGTGGCTCACACTTGTAATCTCAGCACTTTAGGAGGCCGAGGCGGGCGGATCACGAGGTCAGGAAATAGAGACCATCCTGGCTAACACGGTGAAACCCCTTATCTACTAAAAATATAAAAAATTATCCAGTTGTGGTGGTTGGTGCCTGTAGTCCCAGCTATTCGGGAGGCTGAGGCAGGAGAATGGCTTGAACCCAGGAGGCAGAACTTGCAGTGAGCTGAGATTGCACCACTGCATGCCAGCCTGGGTGACAGAGTGAGACACCGTCTCAAAGAAAAAAAAAAAGGAATACTCTAGACAAACAGAACATATACATTTAAGAGTAAAAATATTAAATATTAGAAACCATTGCATCAGTATATTAATGCATATTCAATCTCTGTTTATGTTTTAAAGGGAAGTATGACTCAATATTAAGAAATTCATTGATGAAATTAATTGCATTAATAGAATGAATGAGAATGTCATGTGACTATGTTCATCAATGCAAAAAAATTGGCAGAAAATTATGTTTAATAAATTTGTAAGAAATTGGTGTAAAATATTTCTGAAAAACATGAAAATAGATACATACAAATGAAAAATAATGACACCAAATGTTTGGGTAAGAAAATTCAATAACATTGAGAAGTCAATAATCTTTGAAAAAATGTGTATGTTGAGTTTGACCCAAATACAATACCATGGGCTTGTGTTCTGAAGATCTTAAAAATGTATTGCTATGAAAAATAAACAAAAAACTCCAGGGACAATTTGAAATTTAAAAAAAAAAAAAAAAAAAAAAAAAAGGCCAGGCACGATGGCTCACGCCTGTAATCCCAACCCTTTGGGAGGCTGAGGTGGGCAGATCACCCGAGGTCAGGAGTTCAAGACCAGCCTGTCCAACATGGTGAAACCCCATCTCTACTAAAACTAAAAAATTAGCCAGGTATGGTGGCACATGCCTGTAGTCCCAGCTACTTGGGAGGCTGAGGCAGCAGAATCGCTTGAACCCCGGAGGCGGAGGTTGCAGTGAGCCAAGATCATACTACTGCACTCCAGCCTGGGCGACAGAGAGAAACTCTGTCTCAAAAAAAAGAAAAAAAGGAAAAAAAAGAGTGAATTCACTCTGTTATAAATTATTAAAATAGTGTACTGTCGATTCATGAATAGAAATAGAAGTGAGTGGAATAGAAAATTAAAGACAGAATGAAATATATGAAAATGTCACTGATAATAAGACAGCAGTGACAAAAGTAGAAATGTGGACTTGGGGTGTTTGAGCCTTTGTCTCCTCATGTGTTTTGTTGCACAAACAGAGATGGTGTTTCCACAAGTGGAGGGAGGATATTCAGCCTTTGAATAGAGTAGCTTTGGCTATTGTCTGATGAATAACATTTTTACTGGCTCACTACACATTGTAACCTGTCCTAAGAGCGCACAGTATGTTTGCTGGTGAGCTGAGATGTGGCCGCCTTCAGTAACACTTTATCGCCTACATCTGACCCACTTTCTCTGGGTCCCTTAAAAACAGTCACATACTGTGTTAGTAATTCCTTCAGCTGGTGATGTGTATGGCCTGAGACTATCTGAGGACCCTTCCTATCCAGGCCCACAGGGGATAACAGTCTGTGAACAGTCCAGGGAAAGACCCAATGCTTGGAGATGCTGGAACAGGCTACCCCAACGTGTGTTACTCTTCACCTATACTCCAAATTGGCACAAGCAGAAGGTGCCACAGTCCATTAGAAGGGGGAAAAAAACAGATTTGGAAAGAATAAACATCCTTGGTTATGAGACACAAAGATCATCTTCAGAAAATATGCTAAAATGAAATGAATAGATGTTCTATGCCTTGAGTGAAACTTTATTTGTGAGAAATTTTCTCCAAATAATGAAGACATTTATGGTACACAGCAAAAGGCAGAACCAGAAGAAAGGCTGAGGATGACCAGAAGTACCAGCATCCTTGGAATGTGCTGCCAGTTGTCAGCTAGGTAGCTAATATATGTAATTAAAACTGCTAGATATAAGAAAAACAATTCTGTATATAGAGTGTGTAAAAAGCAATGTTTTGGGTGAATATAGTTGTAAAGGCATGAAATGTGTGTTTTTAGAGAAAAAGCAATTTTGTCTAGTTTAAATGTTACTTAAAGATTGTTTCAAATTGAAGAAATAAAAAAAGATAAAACAGTGAATATGAAAAGTTGTAAAGAAAAAGAGAATGCCCGGGCACGGTAGTTCATGCCTGTAATCCCAGCACTTTGGGAGGCCAAGGCGGGTGGATCACCTGAGGTCAAGAGTTGGAGACCAGCCTGACCAACATGGTGAAACCCCATATCTACTAAAAATACAAAATTAGCCAGGGGTGGTGGTGCATGCCTGTAATCCCAGCTACTGGGGAGGCTGAGGCAGGACAATCGCTTGAACCCAGGAGGCAGAGCTTGCAGTGAGCCAAGATCTTGCCATTGCACTCCAGCCTGAGCGACAAGAGCAAAACTCCATCTCAAAAAAGAAAAAGAATAGAAAAATTGTGAGAGATTGTAAAAGGTTATGAAAAACTGTGGTCAAAAGCTGACTGAGATTGGATGGATTTGTTTATATGGCTTTATTAAAGTTAGCTTCGTATTGGTAATGCACTAATATAAAAGTAAAAGTTTTTTTCTTTTGAACAAGACTTTCATGTAGCATTAGTAAGAGACAATAAACTGTTTTTGCATAGTCTTCTAATAATCTGCAAAAATAAAAAAAGGAAGAAAGAGGAGAGACAGATTCTGTCTCATGCTGTCTTGATTAGGTCTTTCCATTGTTCAGAAAACTGAGTCTCCTCTCTATTAAAAACAGGTTTCTGCTTTTTAAAACCTTTTAATTACCACTTTGTCTAAATGAATGACTATTATTTTACAGTGATCTGTGATTCTATTTTGATCTTGTGTTTTAAAACTTTAATATATGTCACATCCTTCCCAAAAATCACATTTTAAATTTAAAATTAAGTCTTTTGGACCCCAAATTAACTCTGGGATGTTACAGAAGTTCCTTGAAGCATCCTTGAAGGATCCAAAAGCATCCAGACTTATTTGCTATTTTAAATTATGTGGGAAGCATTATCTAATAAGATATAATGTTTAACCTTATTCTAGTTATATTTTATGGATATGTTATTAATATAGGTCCCAAATTTGCATGAGATTTCTAAAATTCTGATTCCTAACATATGTCTTGGTAGCTTATAAGTCATAATTGTGGTTACTATGTAAAATAATTGTAAGCCACAGAAATAATCAAATTTTCTTATCTATCGTGTCTTTATGACTATTTTAAGTCATTTCGACAGCTAATTGCTTAGGTCTTATGAACTTTCTGGAAAGTCTTCACAAGCCAGTAAAATCTTAGAACATTGTGTCTTCAAGGAGGTTCGTGGGAGGATAGAAGGGACCCTGATAAGCACTTATGAATACAAGTTTCTGATAATTTTAGAGTCATTTCATTTGGACCAGGTAAGAAGTCCCAGAACTCTAATGAAGAGATTTGACTATCTTATAAAACTGCTAACCCAAGCAGGACAAGAATAATTGAATATCAAGGGAATACTCTGCCAGATTTTCATACTAAATCAGCCAGTATTGAAATCATTTACATATGCAATTTGAATGAACTTCATGATCTAAGTCAAATGGGAACCCATTTAATAAACAATGCAACATACCTGATTTGAGGCAACAGAACTGGAATTTAAGAAAATATCAATTCAGTGTTAAGTGTGGACTCATGGAGAACGTGGACAGCTGCCTAGTCCTTCCTGAGTCCTTAAAGCTTCCCTTATTATAGCACTACACTCCAGGACTCCTCCTGGAAGAAATAAAATAATCCAAAACAAATATATATGTTCAATGTTTGGTATGTTAAACCCATAATCCTGAGAAGACAATCAAAACTTTAGATACATTTCTTCCAACTTTTGGGCCATTTGAACATTTATAGAGGAATGTCATTCAATTGTCATTTTCAGTGCATGTTTTCTGGCTGTATAAAGGGTTTTCCATGCAAGAAGGCTGATGCTACAACAGTAGCAAAAAGATCCTTAGGAAACGTGTTTCCCTTGTGAGACATTTCTGGAGAAATCTCCAGTGATAGAAGTACTCGTTTCACTGGACAAGTTATAGAACAGATAAGCTATTACAGAGACAATAGCACTAGTCAGAGCTAACTAAACTAATTGGATTGCCTTGGTCAAAGGTATTGCAGATTAATGGCAATCAGTTCCACTTCCAATGGAAAACATAAGTTGACCCCTTATGAAATAGTCACTGCAAGGCCTGTGCCCCTAATAATAGAACCTCATGTATCTTTCATTCCTAAACTCTCATATGACTAAATGCTGCAAAACTGTAATGTATTATGCCAGAGTGTTTTCACCAGGCAAAGGAAGCTTTCATGAGCCACCGACTGAGGACAATCAAACCCTTCACAATCTAAAACCCAGACCTTGGGTCTTCTGAAAACAACATCAGAGAAAGGCTGTCTTTGCCACCACTCTGTAACAAAACTTGGGACCTTGAATCTTGGGTTCATAATCTCACAACTCAGGAGAACACTTCCAGACTCTTGGAACTGCACACCCAGTAGAGAACTAAGGTAAAGCTAACCAGGGAAGTTTCTCTCCAAAAGCAGATGATATTGTAGATGTGGACAGCTTTCTCAAGATCACAGATCAAGACTTCTCTGCTATCAGAAGACTCTTGCCTCTCTTAATTTTTTCCTTCCTTATGCTTCTCTGAACATTAGGACTGGAAAAGGGGCTTTGTGTAAACTCATATGGCATACTATTATTTGTGGGATATTTTGTTTTTTGTTTTGCTTTCTCTCTTTTTTTTTTTTTTTTAGATAGAGTCCCACTCTGTCGCCCAGGCTGGAGTACAGCGGCACGATCTCAGCTCACTGCAACCTCCACTTCCCAGTTTCAAGCGATTCTCCTGCCTCAGCCTTCCGAGTAGCTGGGATTAGAGGGGCACACCACCACACCCAGCTAATTTTTGTATTTTTGGTAGAGACGGGGTTTCACCATGTCGGTCAGGCTGGTCTCGAACTCCTGACCTTGTGATCCAACAGCCTGGGCCTCTCAAAGTGCTGGGATTACAGGTGTGAGCCACTGTGCCTGGCTTTGTTTTGTTTCTGAGACAGAGTCTCGCTCTGTCTCCCAGGCTGGAGTTGCAGTGGTGTGATCTCAGCTCACTGCAACCTCCGCCACCTGGGTTCAAGCAATTCTCCTGCCTCAACCTCCCAAGTACCTGGGATTACAGGCACCAGCCACCACACCCAGCTAATATTTTGTATTTTTAGTAGAAACAGAGTTTCACCATGTTGGCCAGGCTAGTCTCAAACTCCTGACCTCCGGTGATCCACCCGCCTCAGCCTCCCAAAGTGCTGGGATTACAGGCCTGAGCCACCGCACCCGGCCTACATGTGGGGTATTTTGAAGCCAGTCTTCTACACGGCCAACCTTATGCTTTAAAGGATAAAAGATGAAGGGCCAATGTGGATGAGGAATTTTAATGGTAGCTTTGTTGCTCTATAACAGTCAGAGACAGAACGTTGGTTCACTCCTGTTAACCTACAGCATAGGGTGAAGAAAATATTGCCAGGAGGCCTTCACCCTTGCAGATGAGCATCATTTCTTAGGTGTCTTTTTCTATTGTTTAGAGTAAATATAAATGAGGCAATGATTAGACATTTGTCCCTCGTAGTGGGCTCTATAGCAGCTTCTACTGCAAAGGCTTTGGTTGTACAGCAGTCTTCAAGTTTCCTTGCTATAGTTGTGCTAGATAATAGAATAACTCTAGATGACCCAATGGCTGAACGAGGAAGAATCTGCACATGGTTGAATATATAGGTATTAGAGAGATTCAGTTGTAGGGAATTAACAAACAGCCTGCTGGGTTAAAACAAGTACTCTATCTATCTCACTCCTTGATCTATTTGATTTTAGTTGGTTTGGTTTGGACCCTGGCTAAGGAGCATACTCCAAACTCTTGGTATTATCCTCCAGATATTCACAACAGTAGTCTCCCAAGTACATTGTATTCTCTCAAAAGTATTAAATGTTTGTGTGCAGTCATCTATGAAATGGCAAATGATCTCTTTGACTGGAATGAAAAAAAAACTCAAAGAAATGTTTGATCATTGTTTGAAATGCTTGTTCCCTGGTGCTGTAAAGAAATAGCACTTGAACATAAATTTAATTTACTCAGCAAGGCCATTTTTACTTCCTGCAGAAAGGGTACACTTGCCAGCAGTTTTGCCACGAGAGTACACCAAACAAAGAAGACAGTGTCATTTATAACCTGATGTGTCCACCCTACTGCTGTGTCCGGCTTCCATTGGCTGGAATGGGACCTCACATTCTGTATTTGTCCCGATTGGCTAGCAACTTAGAACTTTTTAAAAGAGGCAAAGGCAGAGGAGAACAAAGGAAGGAGGAAGTAACTTGTGGAATACTGAAAAAGGTAAAAACACCTTCAAATAAGGAAGAGGAACAGGCTATGACCTAATGCTTGCTTGAACCAGTATGAGCACGCCAGGGCAAAATTGTGGGAGTTAAGAACATAAAGTACATTGATTTCTTTATTATGGCTAGCAGATATTTAAGAATGTTAACACAGGTCTTTGAATCAATTTTGCTTCTAAGAGAAGTTACTATTTATTCCTAACTAAATGGGGAGGAAAGTCTTTGAAGAGGAACCTCTACTTTACTTTTTACAATCACGAAAGCACCACAATCTATGAATGATTTGCTGAGACCAGAAGCCCAACATGATAGTGACTCAGAGTAGCACTAAAGCCCTACATTTTGGTCACACACAAAATTGAGAGGTTGACCAAAAGAGGAGATGGTTAAATTAAGTTTAGCCTAAAGCTGTCTTCTTACATATTTTAAGTTTGGCCTAAAAGGTTCTCTCTACCTAGTTAACTGTAACTTACCTGGACGTATAGATAGACTATGGCCTGCTCTTGTACCAATCATTGAGCTTTGGCTGATCAAAGATGGCCAATTGTTCACATCATGTTCAAATAAGATAAATGCCAAGCTATACACAATGCAACTTTTTCTGCACCTCACTTCTGTACTTTTTTCTGTACCTCACTTCTGTACTTTTTTCTGTATGTTACTTTCTTGATTCTGTCCACAAATCCTCTCCAACCACACAGCAGCATGGAGTTTTTCTGAACCATTCTGGTTAAGGGAGCTGCCTGGTTTGCAAGTCATTCTTTGCTCAATTAAATCATGTTCAACTTAATTTGCCTAAAGGTTTTTTTAAAAACATGACCAAGATGAACAACAACTTGGAATACGTTACATGGGAGGAACATGGTAGGTGATGTTGGGAGGATGAGGTGAGGCCAGAATGGGGTTTGAGGGCGAGAGAGGGACCCGTCTGTGAGGCTGATGAGATTGCTATTAGTAACTATGCCTGTTATATGGAGACAGGGTTATTACCCCTGCCAAACATAAGAGAAGAGGAAAAGCAGGAGGTATTTCCCTCTCATTTTTTACATTTCTACAAGAGCCAAGTACATGGCTTCTATCCTTCATTCTCACAGTGTCCAGAATAATCAGCAATGTCCAGTGAAGAAGGGGCTCAAGTGCACACAGCAGTCTTCTAAATACTGACCAAAACAAATTCGGTTTAAAAATCATCTACATCTTTCTCCGTCACAAAATTTTTATCAAGTTAATTTTTAAATTGTTTGATTTTTTAAAAACTTTTTAAATATATAAACATTGCTTTCAAAATTCTGGTTGGTTAAATGCCAAGACCAGCTCGGTTGGGGAGACCCTAACCCAGCGGTGTTAGAAGAATTAAAGACACACACACAGAAATATAGCGTGTGGAGTGGGAAATCAGGGGACTCACAGCCTTCAGAGCTGAGAGCCCTGAACAGAGATTTACCCATATTGTCAACATTTGTCAATATTGTCAATATTTATTGACAGCAAGCTAGTGATAAACATTGTTTCTATAGATAATAGATTAACTAAAAGTATTCCATATGGGAAACAAAGGAATGGGCTGAAACAAAAGGATGGGCTCTGGCTAGTTATCTGCAGCAGGAGCATGTCCTTAAGGCACAGATCGCTCATGCCATTGTTTGTGGTTTAAGAATGCCTTTAAGCGGTTTTCTGCCCTGGGTGGGCCAGGTGTTCCTTCTCCTCATTCCGGTGAACCCACAACCTTCAGCATGGGCATCATGGCCATCATGAACAAATCACAGTGCTGCAGATTTTGTTTATGGCCACTTTTGCAGCCAGTTTGGGGCCATTAAATGGCCAGATTTGGGGCCTATCACCAGCATGTCCCCCTTCTTGTTTTTGCAGGGCAATAAAAGCAAAGGTGGCTTTATCACGGTGAGCTACTTCTCACAGGAGTCAGGATCCGCATCTGCAGACTGCACAAAGACAAACAATACAGATTAAAAGCACAATTATCATTGAAATTACAGAGCCTCCAAGTGTCTTTATCTATTTTAATGGGTTAATAGCTGCTAATCCGTCTGCAGCTCCTTCAAGCACTCCAGTGCCTGGTATTAAGGTCAGGTGTTCCTGGGATGCTTTAAATATTTGTTCTTTTAATTTTGCAATATCCAAAGACAAGTTTGTAGAGTGTCCTTCTAGATGCTTTTTTATTTTTTCCCAAATTTTGTTCTTATTAAGAACCATTAATCGTTTCCACAAATCCTTATGTTTAACTCCTACAGCAGGCCATATCATTTGAGGTTGAAGTGCCACTATACTGCCATGTTTCCAGATAATAGGAACTCTTGCCATACTTGTTACCATTTCTACCATCTGACTGTTTTGTTTAGACCAGTTGAACATAGTGTGGCTGTGGCACACTATGCTTCAACACTGTGCTCCAATCCAGTGATCATAACATTGGAGTAATATTTCTAGAGTGGGGCAACACAAAGTATATCATCCATATAATGAATAATGTAACACTGTGAAAACTTTTTACAAGTAAGTTCAATTGCTTGCCCTACATCAGTCTGGCAAATTGTTGGACTATTTAACATGCCTCGTGGCAACACTTTCCAATGAAAACGCTTAGCAGGCTGCAGGTTGTTTACTGCAGGAATTGTAAATGCAAACGGTTCACAGTCTTGCTCAGCTAAGGGAATAGTAAAGAAACGGCCTTTTAAATCTATGACTATTAAAGGTCAATTTATTGGAATCATAGCAGGAAAAGGCAATCCTGGCTGCAATGCTCCCATAGGTTGTGTAACTGAATTAATGGCTCTTAAGTCAGTTAACATTCTCCATTTACCTGATTTTTCCTTCATTACAAAAACTGGAGAATTCCAAGGGGAAAATGTTGGAGCTGTGTGTTCTTTTTCTAATTGTTCAGCAACCAAGTCCTCTAAAGCCTCCAGTTTCTCTTTACTTAGCGGCCATTGTTCTATCCAAATTGGCTTATCTGTTAACCATTTTAAAGGTATAGGCTCTGGAAGCTTAACAATGGCCACCATCAAAACTGATATCCTAAACCTTTGCGGGAACTTTGTCTTTCCACTTGAAGCGGTTCCTTCGAAACTTGCAAATTTTTTACTAGTCCTACACCAGGGACATACCCCATTTCATGCATCATATATTGACTTTGAGGGATGTATAATTGCTCTGGAATTAGAACTTGTGCTCCCAATCGTTGTAATAAATCTCTCCCTCATAAATTTATAGGATCAGAAGTTATAATTGGTTGAATAGTCCCAGGTTGTCCATCGGGCCCTTCACAATGCAAATATAACTACTTCGATATACTTCAGGGGCTTTACCAAATCCAACTATGTTAAATTTAGTGAGTTAAATTGGCCACACGGATGGCCAGTGCTGCAGAGAAATGATTGAAATGTCCGCTCCTGTATCTACCAAACCTTTACATTTCTTTCCCTGAATAGTTATTTCACAGGTAGGATGTTTATCAGTAATTTGATTCACCTAATAAGCTGCTTTGCCTTGTTTATTTGTGCTTCCAAATCCTCCTGTTCGTTTAATTTCACTTTTCCCCATTTCTACATATGACACAATCAGGGGCTGTGCTGTGAACTCTCCTGGTTCTGCTTTCCAGGGAACAGAAGTAGATGTAACAATTTGAATTTCCCCATTATAATCTGAATCAATGACTCCTATTTGTACTTGCACTCCTTTTAAATTTAAACTAGACCTGCCTAGAAGAAATCCAATTGTCCCTACTGGCAAGGGTCCACAGACCCCTGTTGCAACTTTTTGCGGGGGTTCCCCAGGCAGAAGGCTCACAGCTTTTGTGCAGCATAAATCTACTGCAGCACTCCCAGCTGTGGCAGGTGACAGACATTGTACAGGGGTTAGGGAATGGCCTGAGCCGGAAATGCCCCAGTTTGGAATGGGGCCCAGGACAGACCCCTCATGCCATTTCCCGAATTAAAAAGGAAAAGGCTCAAATGTGGCTATAATATTTCCCTGTTGATCTGGGGGGTGTATTCTAACGGGGAACTGCCAAGCCTCTCTATCACCCTCTCATCTAGCTTGCTGAATTCCTGCCTGAATAGAACTGAGAGCAGCCGCTCAAGGTGCTGCTCTAACAGTCACTAGGGCAACTACTTTTCACCCAGTGTCCTCTGGAAAAGAAAGATCTGGAGGATCAGGCCACTCTTTTTCTTCAAAATAATGAGGGTATGTGGCCGGGCGCGGTGGCTCAAGCCTGTAATCCTAGCACTTTGGGAGGCCGAGGCGGGCGGATCACGAGGTCAGGAGATCGAGACCATCCTGGCTGACACGGTGAAACCCCGTCTCTACTAAAAAATACAAAAAACTAGCCGGGCGAGGTGGCGGGCGCCTATAGTCCCAGCTACTGGGGAGGCTGAGGCAGGAGAATTGCGTGAACCCGGGAGGCGGAGCCTGCAGTGAGCTGAGATCCGGCCACTGCACTCCAGCCTGGGCGGCAGAGCGAGACTCCGTCTCAAAAAAAAAAATAATAAAAATAAAAATAATGAGGGTGTTCAGAAGGGTAGGGATGAACCTGTCCCTCCTTTGCTGCTTTAGCTTTAGCTGGCAAACAAACCTGCTCTGTCATCTCTTCTGTTAATTCGTTATACTTTCCTTCCTCCTCATCATGAGTGTGAAAAGGTTCCAAGGTGGAACAAACCGAGCCCACATTTGTTCCATTGTTACCCTGATGCTTCCAAGCTCCCCTTCTTACTCACCACGGGGATTGCTTAAGAGTACTCGGGTGTCCTACAGCTTAGTTCCATGTTCTCCAGCCCTTGCTCCGGTGACCATTCAACCTGGGTTCGAGCCCCCACATTGGGTGCTGCTTGCCAAGACCAGCTCGGTCAGGGAGACCCTAACCCAGCAGCGCTAGAGGAATTAAAGATACACACACAGAAATATAGCATGTGGAGTAGGAAATCAGGGGAGTCACAGCCTTCAGAGCTGACAGCCCTGAACAGAGATTTACTCACATATTTATTGACAGCAAGCCAGTGATAAATAGTGTTTCTATAGATGATAGATTAACTAAAAATATTCCTTATGGGAAACAAAGGGACGGGCTGAAACAAAGGGATGGGCTCTGGCTAGTTATCTGCAGCAGGAGCATGTCCTTAAGGCACAGATCGCTCATGCCATTGTTTGTGGTTTAAGAATGCCTTTAAGCGGTTTTCTGCCCTGGGTGGGCCAGGTGTTCCTTCTCCTCATTCTGGTAAACCCACAATTTTCAGCATGGGCGTCATGGCCATCACAAACATGTCACAGTGCTGCAGAGACTTTGTTTATGGTCAGTTTTGGGGCCAGTTTATGGACAGATTTGGGGGCCTATCCCCAGCAGTTAGGCAATTATGTGAAGTTCACAAAGTATAGGAGAAGTTCCAAGAAAATGTCAGAGCTGTAACTACTCCTAGAGTGTGCTTTGAGGCTGCTGTCTCGTTCTCAGGGTGTCCCCAAATCCTCCAGCCTGGACGCTGCCTCCAGGGTCCACCCTTGTGGGAGGTCCCACTGAGACTTCCTTCACCAGAGCCCAGAAAGAGCCAAGTCAAGCTCAGCCCACAGTGGCTGCTCACCCCGGGGTGATCTGTCTGCTCTGCCGTCAGTTACACCACTGCTGTCTACTCTCAACCAAGTCTACCCCACAAGGAGACGTGGGCGGCCATGCCAGATCATGCCTTTGGTAACAATCCCCCTGCATCTCACCTGTCTACAGCTCCTCACATTCCTTGAAGCTTGGTTTCCTTTATCAGGATTAGGGGTTTTCAGTGTGGCGGGGACTCTTGATAGTCGCAGAATGGCATCTATGAGGCCAAACCATGTCTGAATTGACACTCCATATACCTATGTACTGGCCATGTGGTTTGGCAACTTTGTGAGCCTCAGTTTCCAAGTAAGTAATATTCCTCTAATTAAAAGTTTTCACAACTTCAAGTTCTTGTTAATTGTCCATGTCAAGATTACAGGCTAAATTATGGTTCTATTCAGCTGACCATGAGATGAGGAGATCTTCCTTGACTGTCCTGGTAGGTGCAGCAAAATCACAAAGGTCCTTAGAAGTGAAAGGATGCAGGAGAGAGTTGGCCTGGTGTGATGTCAGAAAGACTGGACCTGGTGGTCACTGCTGGCTTTCAAGCTGGAAAGGGACCAGGAGTGAAAGAATGTGGGTTCTTCTATAGACTAGAAGAGGAAAGAAAAAGAACTCTTTTCCAGAGACTCCAAGGGGAACACAGCCTAGAGAACAACTTAATTTTAGCCTGCTGAGTCTCATTTCAGATTTCTGACTTCTAAGTCCATAAGATCATAAATCTGTTTATTTATTTATTTTGAGACAAGATCTTGCTCTGTAGCCCAGGCTGGAGTGCATTGGTGTGATCTCGGCTAACTGCAACCTCCGCCTCCCAAGTTCAAGCAACTTTCCCACCTCAGCCTCCTGAGTAGCTGGGACTACAGGCACACACCACCACACCTAGCTAATTTTTGTATTTTTAGTAGAGATAGGGTTTCACCATGTTAGCCAGGCTGGTCTTGAACTCCCGACTTCAGGTGATCTGCCTGCTGCGGCCTCCCAAAGTGCTGGGATTACAGGCGTGAGCCATCTGCCCAGACAGTAAGATAATAAATTGATGATGTTTTGAGCCACCAAGTTTGTGATCATTTGTAATGACAGTCATGTGAAACCACACCACAGATATGGAAAGAAGTTCACCTTCACTTACCATGAAAGTCATGGAAAAAAAATAAATCATCTTTTTTTTTTTTCTTTTTTGCCTACTAGGTTAGCATTAATTAAAGAATTTTTTAAACTAATAAAAAAAAAAAAAAAGAAAGAAAAACCTTAATATCCTTGAGCCAGTCAGTAGAAAAAAATGATACCATGGTTCCTTACTGGAGAAAGAAAAAAAAAATTAGCTCAAACCCTTAAGGTGGTAATTTGGAAATATACATAGCTATTTTACATGGACTTGTCCTCTGACCCAATATACTAATGGCTAGAAATGTACAGTCCTCTATTTCCCAAAGCCTGCTAAACAACATGTACAGAATTTTTTTAAAGCAGCTTTATTGAGGTAAAATGGAATATCAATAACCGCCTATATTCAACGTGCAAAATGTGTGAAGTCGAATACCTGTTGAAGCCATCACCACAATCCACAGCGTGACCTTCCCATGACCCCGAGGTGTGCTCAGGCTCCGGAATCGGAAACTCCTTCTCAGTTTGCATCGGTGTGCGGCCCTCCCGGGAAGCGCAGCCCCGGGCACCAGGACGGCGCGCCGGGGTCCCTGCGGGGCGGCGGTGGAGGAGCGGGGTCTGGTCGGGTCCGAGCCAGCGCGAACCCTGGGCGCGTCACGGTCTGCGCGGCGCCTGTGCGCCCGGCGGCTGCGGTCGGGAAGTGTCTGTAGCCAGTTCCTCCTGCGGGAACTTGGGGGCGGCTCGGGGAGGCGTGGCTCCGCGGGCGGCTGGTCCCAGCTGAGCTGCGGCCGGAGCTCTTGGGGCACCCGGGGCTGTCCGGTGACCTGGCCCGGGCCGTGGGGACCTCATGACCTCCGCGGGGACAAGCCGGGGACGCGGCCTGGGCCCGGCTGCTCCTGGGCTCCGGCCAGGGAGTCGCAGAGTGGAAACTCCCCAGAGGCGCAGGGCCTGGTGACAGCGTCCTGGATGCAGGACTTTGGGGCGATGGGCTCTGGGGGCGCCCTGGGGCGTGGCCCGGGACATGGTGGAGTTCCCACAGGTCAGTTAAAGGGCGGCCGGGAGGCATCGAGGTCGGTGAATTGTACAGACCATCCTAAATTGTCACATAACGTCACGGCTTCGCTCCTTTGCTCTCAAAGGGATACCCCCCTCCCGCCACCCGCGCCGCTGCCCATACCCTTGTTTTCCTTATTCAGGGGTGTGCTCCTGTCAGGGGTGTGCTCCTGAGGTGGATGAGTTTGCATCTTTGCTTTGGCAAACCTTTTGAACCCGACCTTCCTGGGGGGGGTTGGACTCACATCTAGGAACAGAAAAGGGAGCCTAGGGAAGTCGCGCTTCGGTCCAGAAGCGACCCCCCAGCCCCCACCTTGCCTTGGGACAGCAGCCTTTGCGCAGCCTTAGGAGCCCGGAAAGGCCACAGCCGGAGGACAGGACCACAGCCCGGGAATGCGCTTGTCCTGCTCTCAAATCCTGCGACTTCGCCCACCCGTTGCAATCTTGACCTCTTTGTATTTTACCAACTAGATTTTTGAAACTCTTGTTTTTGGACTTCAAAGGGTTTTTTTTTGTTTTTTGTTTGTTGTTGTTGTTGTTGTTTTTTGAAAAATCAAACCAACAATTTTTAAATAGATTTGATAAAAATCTTGCGATGGAAAATGACGTGATAATTCTCAACTCTAATGGACTTTCTGGCCGTGTTTAGAAGAGGATGTGGGCACCTGAGTCCCTCCCGGCCAGGCTCACTAACTGCTCAGGACCGCGGGCGACAAGGGAAGGAAGCCATACACTTGACTCCCAGCTCCCTTTAGAAAAATGACACTGAGAAGCAAAGTCCTCCTCCTAGTAGACTTTGAGGCTCAGATACTATTACTATTATTATTGAGATGGAGCCTCGCTCTGGGCTCACTGCAACCTCTGCCTCCCGTGCTCAAGCGATATTTTTGCCTCAGCCTCCTGAGTAACTGGGATTATAGGCACGAGCCACCATACCCAACTAATTTTTGTATTCTTAGTAGAGACAGGGTTTCACCATGTTGATCAGGCTGGTCTCAAACTCCTGACCTCAAATGATCCACATGCCTCCGCTTCCCAAAGTGCTGGGATTACAGGTGTGAGCTACCACGCCCGGCAAGGCTCAGATTTTAATAACAGAATTTCCATGGCTGACTGATGTCACACAGGACTTACTTTTAAACTTTGTTGGGAAAAAAATTAATATGAGTCCTATAAGTAAAACAGAGCCCTAGAGAAGCAGGTCCACACTCTCAGTGTTTTGGCTCTGGAGTATGACAGTTCCTACCAATGACAGCTACACAGACATTTGAACAGTTCCTACCAATGATAGCTACACAGACATTTGAACGGTTCCTACCAATGATAGCTACACAGACATTTGGAGGTTTTGCCTTCTTTTAGGTAAATTCAAGGAAGATGATCTGTAAACGATCAGTGTCACATTTCTACTTCTTTGGTGGAACTTAGGCAGATAGCAGTGGGAGCTCCAGGAGAGAATTTCACATGATTATTTATACTCCTCTTGTCTAAATCACCCCACTACCTTCTGGAGGTACCACAGCAGCCTCTCTACTGGTTCCCTGATGCTATCTTCATCTACAGTCCGTTTCCTTACTGCAGCCAGAGCGTGTTTTTTTTTTTTTAAACATGATATTTCCTTGTTTAGAACTGTTCAGCAGTTTTTGTTGATGAATAAATTCCAACATACCCTGGCATTAGAATAGCTTAACAGGAGTGGGGAGTGGAGGGCTCAGAAATCAGAGCATCTGAGCAGATCCCATGTTCACTGAGCTGTGTGAGAAGACACATTACTTCTCAGTGTTTGCCTCTTCAGTTTGTCTTAAAAAAAAAAAAGAAAAAAGACGTAGGAAAATCACAAATTTCCCATGCTGGAGTGCAGTGGTGCAATCTCAGCTCACTTCTCCAACCTCCACCTCAGGGGTTCCAGCGATTCTCCTGCCTCGGTCTCCTGAGTAGCTGGGATTAAAAACGCCCACCAATACACCCAGCTAATTTTTGTATTTTTAGTAGAGATGGAGTTTCACCATGTTCGCCAGACTGGTCTTGAACTCCTGACCTCAGGTGATCTGCCTGTCTCATTCTCTCAAAGTGCTCGGATAACAGGCAGAGCAACCACACCCGGCTATTGATACATTTCTTAATACAAGCTCCTTGTTCTGCTATTTTGATATATTAAATATCCAGCAATAAATTTCTAAGTTCACAAATCTACAGAAATAAAATTAAACCTATTGCTGAAGACAAATTTTGTATTGCAGTTTTATGAGCTTTCATTCCTTCTCCACTTGCAGGTAAATGCTATTTAGCAGCATGAAGACATTTCACTTCTGTAGAAGGTGTTAGAAACAATATAGCAGTAATAGAATTTATAACTACAAAACTGTGCACCCTTAAGATTGAAAATTCAAGCACATCTCTCCCAAAACATTTGTGATGAATAATGTGTCAACAAAAAATATACAGTCATTATAGTCAACTCAATTTATACACTAAAGTCTTTTTTGTTTGTTTTGGGGGGTTTTTCTGAGATGGAGTTTCACTCTTGTTGCCCAGCCTGGAGTGCAATGACACAATCTCAGCTCACTGCAACCTCCACCTCCTAGGTTCAAGCGATTATCCTGCCTCAGCCTCCCAAGTAGCTGGGATTACAGGCACCTGCCACCATGCCCAGCTAATTTTTTGTATTTTTTTTTTTTTTAAATAGAGACAGGGTTTCACCATGTTAGCCAGGCTGGTCTTGAACTCCTGACCTCAGATGATCCACCTGCCTCGGCCTCCCAAAGTGCTGGGATTAAGGCGTGAGCCACTGCGCCCAGTCTAATTTATACACTAAAGTCTTTTATATGTTAATTTGGGGCACTAACTCCATTATGTGACACTCCTTCTGTTTGATTTGTTTTGTTTATGGTATCAGCAAAAACTCTTAAGTTGTAAGAAGGAAGAAAGTGTAAAAAAACAAACTATTCATGAAAAATGTAATTAATTATCATGAGTACACAAACTCTAGAGGTTACAATAGAAGTTTTATATGGAAAATCCAATCAATACAGTAATTTGCAAGGTTGGGAGAGGGGATGCTCATGGACAAATGGGCCTCTGACATCTGTAGAATCTTTAATTTGGTTCATCTACCTTCAGAAAACCTTTCACAAAAAAACATGACATTTGCTATAGAAAGATCAAGTAGTTTATTCCCTCACACATACAAAAATAGGAAACTGAGGCTTACAGAAGCTAGATTACCTACCTTGAGATATCTATATATCTATATCTATCTCTATATATCTATGTATCTATATATCTATGTATCATCTATATATCTATATATCATCTATATATCTATATATCTATGTCTCTATATATCTCTATATATCTATATATCTCTATATATCTACATATCTACATTTATCTATCTATATCTATATATATCTATATATATCTAGATATATATAGATATAGATAGATAGATAGATAGATAGATAGATAGATAGATATAGATAGATAAGATTTTTTTTTTTTGAGCCAGAGTCTCGCTTTGTTTCCCAGGCTGGAGTGCAGTGGTGGGATCACTGCTCACCACAACCTCCACCTCCCAGGTTCAAGCAATTCTCCTGCCTCAGCCTCCAGAGTAGCTGGGACTACAGGTGCACGCCACCACACCCAGCTAATTTTTTTTCATATATATTTTTAACTAGAGACGGGGTTTCACTAAGTTGACCAGGATGGTCTCGATCTCCTGAACTTATGATCCGCCTGCCTAGGCCTCTCAAAGTGCTGGGATTACAGGTGTGAGCCACTGCACCCAGCCAATTTTTGTATTTTTTGTAGAGACAGGGTTTCCCTGTGTTGCCTAGGCTGGTCTCTTAGAACTCCTGGACTAGTTAGCCCAGCATGGTGGTACACACCTGCAGTCCCAGCTACTTGGGAGGCTGAGGCAGGAGAATCACTTGAGCCTGGGAGGCACAGGCTGCAGTGAACTGAGATTGCACCACTGCACTCCAGCCTGGGCAACAGAGCAAGATTCCATCAAAAAAAAAAAAATACTCCTGGGTTCAAGTGATCCTCCCACCTCAGCCTCCCACGTTGGTGGGACCACAGGCACACACCACCACACCTGGCTAATTTTTGTATTTTTTGTAGAGACAGGGTTTCCCTGTGTTGCCCAGGCTGGTCTTTTAGGACTTTTGGACTCAAGTGATCCTCCCGCCTTGGCCTCCCAGTGTACTGGAATTACAGGCATGAGCTGCTGCATCATTAATATATAAATGCATCAAATGTATCGGGGATTCCAGTGCATTCTAAGAGGACCTGGACATGTTGGGATGTGCCCAGAACACTACTGGGCATGGGCCACCCATCTGCATTTGCAGGAGGACTGAAAAATATCCAGAGGGCAAAACCCTTTAGGAGCAGCCAGAAGCAGGCCCTAGAGGCAAGTAGGGCATCCAGGGTACAACATTTAAGGAGGCCCCACTCTCAGGAGCTGACCCTGCACTTTCACGAGCCTGAGAGAGAGGGCTTCCTTAAATTTCCCACTAACTCCTCCTTTGTCTCACCAAATCGCAGCCCTGGTAAGAAGCCAGAAGTGGCTGGGCTTGGTGGCTCATGCCTGTAATCCCAACACTTTGGGAGGCTGAGGCAGGCAGATCACCTAAGGTCAAGAGTTTGAGACCAGCCTGGCCAACATTGTGAAACTCTTTCTCTACTAAAAATACAAAAATTAGCCGGGTGTGGTGGCGGGTGCCTGTTAATCCCAGCTACTTGGGATGCTGAGGCAGGAGAATCGCTTGAACCTGGGAGGCAGAGGCTGCAGTGAGCCGAGATCGCGCCACTGCACTCCAGCCTAGATGACAGAGCAAGACTATGTCTCAAAAACAAAACAAAACAAAACAAAAACAAAAAAGAAGCCAGATGTGTCCAGCTTGTTCCAGTGGTCAGAACTGGGGCACAGAGTTTTATCATAAGACCACATTGCAGCTACTAACTGGAGTAAAAAGAAAGAATTTACTACAGTGATGTAGCAGACATTTGTAATGCAATGTGAGTATTTTGTTGTACAGA